CGTGCCGGCGCGGCGCGGGCGGGGGCGGCTTCTTCTTCTTCTCCGCCTTCTGTTCCGCGGGGGCGGTGGCGGAGGCGTTGTTCTGCGCGTCGCGGACGAAGTTCTGGATGAACTCCATGTCGTGCTCGATGACGCTCTTGTCGACGCCCATGGACTGCAGCTGGTCGAGGAAGGCCATCCAGGAGGGGTCGACGTTGGATGAGGTGAAGCCCTTCTCGGAGTCGTAGCCCATGTGCGCGACGTGGATGAAGGACCCCTGCGTCGGGCCCGAGATCATGGACTTGTCGATCTTGCCGGGGGTCTTGGACTTGGATTTCGTGGACTTGGCTTTTGCTTTCGCTGGTGGTAGTGGGTGAGACAGATAATGCACGGGATGGGGATGAGACGCACCTGGCGCCTTGTTCTTGCTGAGCGCAGTCGTGACTTTCTTGTGGAACGCCTTCGCCTCGCCCTCGTCGGCGAACACGAAGCCAATCATGCATTCCTGTTGCATCCCCAATCAGCGTCGCCCACAGCTGTATGTACGTGCATCCCTGTGGCTCACATCCCCGGGGAACGAGTGGAAGAACGGGCGGTCGGAGAAATATTCGAACCCGTCGTACACCTCGTGCTCCCATATCACGCCGCGCGTGCCCGCCAGATCCACCATGCGGAAGTACATCGTGCCGCCCTTGGCGGTGTCGCGCGCGACGACGAGCGCGCCCTGCAGGCCGGCGTACGACCAGGCGTTGGGGTCGGGGTAGGCGTAGTAGATGCGGGCTAACAAAGCGAAGATGATCTTGTTGGAGGACTTGGGGACGGCGGATTTGACTTTGGTTTTGTCATCGTCGGAGAGTGTGGACTGGGCGGGCATGGCGGGGGCGGGATCGGCGTCGACGACGACGGAGAGAGTTATCGGCGCTGCGAGTGCTTGCCACAGCAAATCGTGGGAAATGCTACCCTTTCGGGAACGTCACACAAGTTCCTACACAGCTGGACGCTTTGGTTGAAAATATTTGAATACCCCTTGAAGTCAAAACCTCAAATCACACTAGTCAGAATTTGTGACATTTTTTTGTTTTAAAAAAGCGACAAAATGACGGATAATTCTAATCAGCAGCCCCCCCTGAAAGTAACAACCCCGGGTTGTTTGCTTACAAATCATCAACCCCCCCAGAATTGATTTACTGTAGATAATATGTTTTTGTCACTTTTGTCACTGCCCTATTTGTAGACATTCCTAGTACTGGTACCTCACGTAATGCTCCTGGTCCAGATCCAGGAGCCGCTACTAGCTGCTCAAGCATCTGAGAAGTCCATGGAGTCCATGATGGACCTCTGCCTATCAGCTGGATGGACCCATGGACCCCAGTCTGCCTGGGGGATGTGGTTGTGTAATTGTGTAATTTGTGTTGAATAATGAAAATGCAAGCCGGAGGCAAGCATCACATAGTGTGTGCCCAATGCAGTCAGATGGGAGGTCCACTCAACCATACATGTCATTAATATTGGAAATCCATCAGTGTGTTTCCTGTATGCATGATTTATGTATATTGGGGTTTGTCTATTGTTTTGGGAGATTCAATTGGTGTAAGTGCAAGGGTCACTGAGTCTCAGGCCACTGGATGGAGATCTGCCACTGGTACTTGTGGTCACAGTGGGCCCTTCATTCATACAGTAATGCATTGCATCACATGCAGCATGGTCCATGGTCAGCAGTAGCTTCTGACCGCTAACTGGGAGAGCCTCAGCCTAATTTTCAAAAATTTTATATGTAGCTATGTACATAGAGTGAAGTCTAAGTAACCAGATTCGATGGACTGGTAGAGCTTGATGTCACATGTGACCACTGGTGGACAACCGGGGTTGCTGGATAATGGCATGGGTTGCTGAGGGGTTGTTGCTCTCAGGGGGGTTGCTGATTAGAATTATCCCAAAATGACTCCTTGTGCAAAGATTTGATTGGGGAAAGTCAGAAATTTGGGGTGTTACTCACTCCCAGGCATGATATTGATATTGAGCGGAGTTTCAAATCTATAAGAGGCAAGTTCGCGTGGCTCGCGACAGATGCTTGGGGCACGCTGGGGCAGGGATATCTCGTCTAAGCCGTTACAGAGCTTCTAGGATCAATATTATAGTAGAAGTTATACAATGTAAATTTCCTGAACTTGTGTCGGCGCAGGCGTATCAGCCATGGTATTGCGAGCATGAGGCGGGAGTTGCCAAACCATTAGCACGGTTCAAACTCATAAGAACAAATGCACGTGATCTCCTTGTGACTACCATGTCATCTGTGGTTCAGCCGTCCTCGGGCTCACATTCCGGTTCCTCCTGGTCCCTTGGTAGATACTGTATTATATATCATACTATACAACAATGCAAGGATTTTATTGTTCTATCTAATGCTGCATACACCCTGTAAGTTTCTAGATATATGTATGGCCCACAATACTCCAGACATGGGATACCACTCTGCCATTCACATACCTATCTGGCCAATATATGTAGGTGAACAAAGAGATTGGAGCGGCAAGGATGCACTCACCAAATCTAAGCAGTCTAGTCAAATGTCTACGGAGGTACACCTAAGGAATGGCAGTCCTCAGTAAGGGAACATATACAGTCAAAACTTGGTGCAGTGGCCCGGGTGAACCATCTGTATGATAGGCAGCGCGAGGAGAAGAAATGATGACTTATGTGTGAGAGACGAAGCTGTGCAAGTGCAAGCAACGAGAGCGGAGGAGCATGACAGGTCAAGGGAATGGACCTGGAGAAGGCGAGGAGAGGGTGAAAAGATGGCAGTGGTTGAAAAACAAGAGAGGGCGAAGAGAAATTTTCGTTGAAGTCCGACTTGAACCGTGGGAGCAAGTGGCACACCGGCAACATCACATATGACGCGAGGCAATCACGAGACCTGGCGGCAAGCTCTCGTGCCGATACATTATAGTCAGAATTTGAGAGGGGGAACTAATAGTGCAAATATTTGACCAGGAGGGTTGAAATATTCTTCAAAACCACCAAGGTGAAATATTTTTACATGACTACTGAAAATTTGTCAACAGCAGAGTTGCAGAACTCCCTGCTTGACCCATTTGCAGCTTTCTGTCAGAATTCCGGCTGGCCGTGTAGACTCGCGAGTCTTGACCAGTCTACACTATGGCACACGAATACCATGGCATGTGAAGACTATGGCAGTGATGGAACTGTAGCCAGAGGCAGGAAGTGCAGAATTGGAAAAGTGTGTGCAGTGCTGCGTGCTGTGTAGACTGGTAGAATTTTTATTTATTTTTAGGAAGTGAACCCAGCCAGTGGACTGTCATACTCAAAGTAGACCGCAATTGCATCCTACCCATTCCCTGACATATGCCTATTTGGGAAGTGATCCTCAGATGAGACTTGATGAGTGTTAGGGAAGCTGGCTCTGCTTTCTCCCTGGCTTCCTGGTTTCCCCATCTCTTAATATGTCCCCTTTGGTCTCGCTCTAGCCCTCTGTCACTTCCTGCTTCTTTCCCAGTCCATGGACTTTGATTGAGCCTTTGCTTCCCCCTCCACCTGACCTCCCTATATTCATAGCTAGTCTCCTATTGGTTCGATTCACCCCCTCTTGGGTTCCCTACCGTCTTCAATGGGTCTGAGTTGATTGCAATGGTCTGCAGAATCGTACGATTAACCGTTCCTGAGATATAGCCTTGTACCCCCCTTAGGTTACCATAGCATAGATTCCCCCCCAGAGTTTGTGTCTCCCTAGCTTAGAGCCAAAGTATCTACTTTCGGTCATCTCCCAGAGTGTTCTCTCACCGTTGGCAACAGTCTCCAGTCTCAGCCATAGCCTCAGCAACAGTCTCATCAGCCTTAGCCACAGTTCGACTTCCAGCAAGTATTCAATTTCTCTAGAGTTCTACAGTGTGCACGTCCACGTCATCTTGCCTTTCCCGATGTTTAGTCTCTATAGAGAGTCCCTCCAATGAGTTTCAGTATTTTTCCGACCACTCTAGCGACTTCCAGCATAGCCTCTTAGGCAGCCTCTAGCAGTCTTGCAGTTCTACAGAGTGCTATGTGCTTTGTACTGAGTTTCCCCCAGTTTTGATTTATATTTTATGGTTCTACTAGTGTCCTTCCAATGTTGTCGACCTCTGTCTTGGGACTCCTTCATCACTGTGGGTATCCTACTACCCAGCATTCTTTTGGTTTTATCCCCCAGGGGCTCTCTTGGGTGCGTCTCTCTCTTATCTGTTGTATCACTTCCTCTTCCTCTCCCCTTATCTTACTCTCATCACTTGTCCCTTTACTTGGGCCCACCCCATACCCTTCCTTTTCCTTTTCCTTTTCCTTTTCCTTTTCCTTTTCCTTTTCCTTTTCCTTTTCCTTTTCCTTTGGGTCTCTTGGGTCGCCCTTCTGCTTGGGGTGTCCGGTGACACGCAGACCTTCGAGCCAGCTGTGTGGTTGTCGTGTTGGGTGTCCTGTTCCCCTTCACTCTTTCTGCCAGGGCTCATTTTCCCTTGGTCTTTAGTGGTTGTTGTGTGTCAGTGCCTATCAACACTCCGCCTCATGACTCGAGGATGCGGCGGCTATGCGGCAGGATGGTGATATGCACAGACACACAACGATCACCAAGGACCAAATGAAAATTTAAACCTGACACCAGCGGTATGGGTGGAGGCGGTCCGAGACAACTGAGGGGTATTTTAATAGTTCGAGGGGGAAGGAGGAGTAAGACGACATAGGGTAGTCCGTAGGAAGACCTAGAAAAATAAAACAAACACTTTGACACCTGAAACAAACACTAGTTGACGCTCTGGAGTATTTATCTCCAAAAAGTCGCAATCAAAGTCGCAAGCAACGATGCCTGTCATAGGATCGTGCCTGCAGTGGTAGAAATTGCTAGAGAGACTTGGTTCATTTTATCACCTGATGCTGTAGTATTATTACATTAAACCTGGACAACACTCGTGTGCTCCTTTACAATGTTTCGGGACAATTGTCCACGCCTAATGTAATAGGATTTCAGGCGGCAGGCTGCCTGCCATGAGCCAGGCTGAGCTTGAATGGCCTGCCCCGGCATCCAGGCAGGCAGGCAGGGCTAGATCTGGTGCCCCGGGAATAGCCTGGGGGACTAAGAATAGGCTGGCTGATCATCCAAGCACCTGGGTGGCTCCAAAAAATGCGCAAACATCCGGATAAAATCAGAATATATTGGTGGGACCCGGACTCCATATATTAGTGCTATAAATAGCTGATGGGTACATATAGACCATGGCAGAATGCAGCTTGGCAGCCCATAGAAAATCAAAAGAAATGCGGAAAAATACAGACAAATTCACGGCTGCTGCCAATAGTTCCTGTGCACTAATGGCATCACTATATTACATAACACACTTCCAAATGTGGCAAGATGTGGTGTGGTACACTGCTGGAACCCAAATTTTATGCTCTTTCTGGTTCTGTGGTCCATTTATCCTTATTCTCTTTGTTCTAGCTCCTATTTT